CCCCGCCGTGCTACAGGTGTGGTAGTTTGCTCATTGTTGCTGCTACTTTAGGGAGCCGAGTGTGCAGGGAAAATTGTGCTTGTCCAGAGGTGCAGCTCATAGGATGCAGTTGGTGGTACCGGTAATAAAGAGCACATCCTGTGGACTGGAGGGAATATATTCGCCCCACCCAAGGTGAAAGCAGCAGGGGACCTGGGCTTTAAAGCTTCCTCCTTTAGTGGAAGACCGCCCTCCGCCACCCCTAACCGAGTGGGCCTGCATGGTCATATTGCACAGGGAAGGGCATCTACCTGGTGCATAAAGAAAGAGGGTTTTGCTTCTGCTCCTCAAAGCCCCATCTCCTGAAGGCGAGGAGCAATATACTGACACCAGGGGAATAAACCTGGCCACGTGTTGCTGCAGAGGAGCAAGCCTGCTGCACTGTTGTGGCGAGACGGCTGTGCAGGGTGATGGTCCCTGCACGCTGGGTTAGGACTGGGGTCTGATGTCCTTTGCTAGGCAAGGCTGGTTATTCCCCCCGTTCCCAGGGCTGCTTTTGTGTGCGGCAAGGACTACCTTGACCCGTGCCTTTTATCTGAGCTCCGTGGGGGTGTTGCACACAGAGGGACAGGGAATGGAGCAGCCTGTGGGTTTCCCTTGGGGAGAAATGTTGAGATGCATTAGCTAGGACGGAACAGAGGAGCTCAGGTGAGGTGGGGCTGGGTTCCCGGTTAGGAGACGCTGGCTCTGGCTCCCTCTGTCATCCTAAGCTGCATTGCTGTCCTGGGGCTGTGTTTAGGCACCTGTAATCAGGCATGTGAGGCATGTTTCCCTGGGGTAAAGGCTGAGTCCTGCCCCACCCAGCACCAACCCTGCTACGCCCTTGAATGCAGCCTTGGGACAGAGATGGCTTTGTGCTAGGTGCACAAGGAAATGCTAAGTTCTTCCTAGCTGGGAATCCAGTTGCAAAACTCATGGATGCCAGTTGGGAAGGCTTCCCAAGATCGCCAGCAGATTTGGGACCAAGCCACAGGGTGCCTGCCCCTGCTGTTTTGTTCCACAGGTGAGGAAGCGTCACAGCTTTGGTGGAGCCAAGGCGCAGAGGCCGACCAGGTAGCTCAGTGGGACCTCCCTCCCTGGGGTTACCTGTTGGGGAGTTGCATATCTGCTGCTCTGTAGTCTCTGCAGCACTTAGGGTGCGTCTACACAAGCATTAATGCACATTAAATCTAGTACCTCGGGGCATTTAGATGCATTAATCAGGTCTGCCCATTTAGACGCGCACTGTGCCGCGTCGCGTGCAGTGGTATAAGCAGCAAAATGCGTAGAAAATGGTGGCGACGTGCTTTTGAATTAAAGCACCTTCGATGGGTGTGAGCTCAAAAGCTCAGCGCTGCTGTTTTCTCAGTGCTGATATTCATTTTGCCACTTATACAAGTGCAAGCGTTGCAGTGCTGGGCGCTTACATGTGTAAAAATGCCCTCCATAGTGAGGTACTAAGAAAATGTGCATTAGTCTGTCTTAATGCACATTAAGTAAGCAGCATGGGTTTTTTAGTGATGCTTTAATCCGCATTAAAATAAGCTAATACGCATTAGAGTTCACGTGTGGATGTGCCCATCCCCAGGAGGGCAGTCTTGGTGCTAGCAGAGAGCAGGGGAGCTGCAGGCACCGGAGGATGCTCTGGGCTGAGGGTGGGAGCTCGGCATCACCGGTTCAATTCCACGGTCTTCCTCGGACTTCAGGGCGACCTTGGTCAAGTCCCTTTGTCTCTGTGTACCATCATTCCCTGACCACAGCATGGAGGTAATACCCCTTGATGGCACAGAAGGCCAACCAGAAACCTTTGTCCCTGCAAGCCATGACCTGTGATAATAGCCATTATTAAAGCAGGTCTGAAATTTCCCATGAGAAGGTGGTGAGTGGCCAAGGCATGGCTGATAGGACCCGTGTCTGGGTGAGGCCTCTCCCCTCGGGTTTGTTTAAAAAGTTTTAAAAAAAATTTTTTAGGAGAATTCATAACATTTTTTTGAAAAATGTTGCCACTGAGTGAGAATTGTGGGTAAGGCGAGTGTGCTGTATCCCTGGGCTGTCCACGTGTCTTCATAGTGACAGGGGCCGTGGGGGCAGAGGCTGCTTTCTGGTGGGCTCCATCAAGCCTTCAGAAAGCAGGACATGAAACTCTGACTCAAAGGCCCCAAAAGGTAATTTGGGGTCGAGTTGGAGGCTGTAGCTGGATGTGCATGCGCATGTGGTGGCGTTGTACGTTTTAAATTAGCGTGGTTGCGGATTTTATCTCGGCCTCCTGATCTCTCTGCCTTATCGGAGAAGACGGTTGGATGACAAAATGCAGCAGCTGATGTGATAAATTTGTCCTTTCTTTTTGAATGTAGGTCTTCAAGGCCCGGCGGTGACCTCATTCTTAGCCTCTCGCTCTCCCTAAGCCCGAAACGATGACAATTTAGCCTGTGCGTGTAAAAATGAAAGAGCAGAGCTTGTGTTCACTCATCCCGGGGCCCTGCACTATTACTCAGGAGAGAGCACAGACATTTCTGAACCAGATGTAGATATTTACTGGTACTAGGCAGGGCTGTTTGACTCGTTCTTCTCAAGTGGTGAGACGGATGAGACGGTCCCCTGGCTGGGCTGGGTGTGTGATGGTGAGGATCGATCTGGTCTCCAGATCTCTGGCTTTCCACTACAGCAAGCAGAATAAATGACTGCATCCGTCAGGGTGCAGCGATGACTGTGGTTATCCGGGAGGTCAGGTCACGGGTTCAGAGCTGTGTTTACAAATGGAACAAATTTCATATACTCCTCTCCCCCCACCCCGTCCTGGCACGGCCGTTTGTTTGGAGAGCAGTAGCTCTTGAAGGACCCCAGCGTACGATAGACAGACTTAACCCAATGCTCTGAGTACGGCCCTACCGAGGTGCGTCCACGTGCTGAGCAGGGTTGCTTTGGTCCTGGCAAGCTCCCTTTTCGGGTTGGACCAGAGGAGCCTTGTGATCTCTTCCAACCCTGTGATGCTCTTGCCGTGGCAGGAGACAATCTGTACTCCGAGAGGCTTACAGATAAGTGAACTAATGCATGTATGTGCACATGTGGGCGGATCCGGGGGGGTGCAGTGGTGCAGTTGCACCCCTCACCCCTTTCAGTCCTGCTCTGCCAGAGCTTTAAAACCTACAGTCTGGGAGAGGCAGCAGTATTTGAGTCGGTTCACGACTCATTATCATCAGCCTGATTCCTGCTAATCTCTTTCCACTCCACACGTGTTAAGGACCCTCTCTTCTTTATAAGGGTCGTGATGTTCCACTATTCAACTGCCTTGTCTTCTGCAATCTTTCTGCCTGTTAGCCAGTCCTGGTAAAGTCTCTCTTCTTATTTTGCAGCCCTGCAGACTGTTTTAGCTCTAGCTAAACACCATAACTCGGGTATGGTAATATTGACTCAGGTGTAGAAATGACTGACAGCGAAGTAGCGGATGCACTGTCAAGACAGGCCATCTGAATATGAGATGTGCCTTGAACTATAATGACTACAGGACTAATGCCACAATATCTTTTGATTGTTTTTTATTATGATTTTTTAAAAACTTAATATATAACCCAGCAAATGAGTGTGCACTGTAATAGGTATATTTGTTTTTGCTTTGACCTTAAACTGAATAATATACCAGGAGCTTTTGCAAACCATCTTTGGGCCTGGGACAAGCTTTCATATTTCGTAGACATTAGGGCTGGAAGGGACCTCGGGAGCTGCTTTGCTCAGGGGAATACCCCAGCGCGTTGGCATGAGAAAGCCAAGCTGACCCAGTCTCTCACTTACTCCTGGCTTAATGAGACCAAAGTGAATGAGGGGCAAAATTGCTTAGGCTGCTTGGAAAATCATCCACTTTCCGTAATCGGAGTGACCATTAATAATGCGGGTTCAGGCGTCTGTGCAAAACTGCTGGGCCCAGTCCTGCCCTTGCTCACCCACCTGTGCAGATCAGCAGTGACTGCTGCAGGTGAGGGCAACCAGTGCACAGCTGGACCCTTTCTGGTGCATATTGGTTGTTCTCCATCACCACCCTTTCCTCTTCTTTCCTAATTTGCTTCCTTAGGCTGTGTTTGGTGCTGTTTTCAACTTAACCCCCATGGGGCTGGAATCCCTTTGACCCCCATGAGCTTGGAGCGGGGCTGTCTGCAGAAGGGTATGCAAGGCTGGACCCAGCCCATACCTCCAGGGAGAAACACCTGCTCTGCTCATTTGTCCTCTGTATCAGCTGTATGGAGCTGGGGGCAGAGGCGTTGCATGGCATGGATGGTTTTCCCTGCATTATTCCTGATGGTCGGCAACCAGCTATAAGCCTGACTTGCTAGGGCCAGGGCAGCCGGTTCTCTTCTGATCTGTGCTAGAAATGCACGGTGCGGTCCCTCTTGCCCCATTTTCACCATGAACAGTAGTAAACCCTATCTCGCGTAAAGGAAAAGTTAAAGATGAATCCTTTGGTATGTCATCTTGGTAATGTCTATGTAGCTGAACAGCTGGCCGTGTTGCTGAGCCTCCCCTTTGCCTGCAGCTAGTTCGGCCGTCAGAGAGGATGCTACCGGTCCGTGCTGCCCTGACATCCGCCCTGAGTTTGAAGGATGTCCGAAGAGCCCAGAAGTAATAAGTCCCATTATACCCAATAGAAACATTTGAGTTGTGGCAGATCTGAAAGTTTCTGAGAACAGCTTGCTGCTGGGCATGGTAAATTAGGGGAGCGTGTGCTGGCTGCCTCCCTGATGGCAACCCAGAGCCAGCTCCTCCCCTGGTATAACTTGGCTTTGACTTAAAACTCCTAATGTACAAGTGCAGAGCATTTGGCCTTCTGATTTTTTTCTTTTTGGATTTTTTTGATTTTTTTTTTGCCTTTCCACTGAGAAGTGCGTTCGTGGTTGTTCTTCGAATCGGCTCATTTCTCAGCAAGGGCTGATTTGGCAGGATTAAAAATCAAAGAATGAGGAAGAAACAAACCCGCGTCTGTATTTGGGCATGATTTTTATTTTATTTTTTTAAAATGAATTATATTCTAATCCAGATAAAACAAGACAAAGCTAATACACATGGCCCCCCTAATCACTTTGCTTGAAGGAATTAAGGGCCTGGGCCTGAAGGTGTTTATACGCACGAGCAGCTAAATGGGGCTGTAGATGTAGGTCTTTGGTCTCTAGTATATTCTGAAATATCAGACCTTGGGTCTTGCATTCAGGGTCCGCAATCAGGTTTTAGATCCTGAAATAGAAGTGGTTTGGGTTCAGAAATGCTGGGCACCTAGAAAGCCAATTCAGGCCCTCGGTTCTCTGAAGGTGTCCCGTGCTCTCCATCCATCCCAGGGCACGTTACAGGTGTGCGTTATATGCATTGCATGTGTGTGCCTGTAGGTAGGTAACTTGAACCGTGTAACGGGACCTCCCTCTTATTAAATCTGTGCTATGCTGCAGGGCGATGCACGCTGGTTTTTGGCTACGCAGTCAAATGCCGCTGTGGCGGGTTTCGGCCGTGGGGCTTGACGTTGTGACCCCGAGGTCTGGTCTTGTCTTTCATGTTTCAGCCAAAGTCTTGCGCTCTGAATTTGGGGTTGGGAGTGGATGGGCGGCAGCACCCCAGGTCTCAAGGAATGGTAGGTGGCAAGGTCGAGATGCACCTTATAGACTGACTACATCAGAGTCTGTAAGGTGCATCTCTGCCCTGACTTCCGACTAGCATGGCTAACGACCTCTCTGTGCTCAAGGAGTGGCAGCCTAGGAAATGTCTGAGTCCAGGAGCTGGAAAACGACTTGACTTTCCCTAGATCCAGCTGGCTCAGAAGGAAGCGGCAGCCAGCGGTTGCATTTTCTGCTGGTGCATGCAGAGTGAGAGCAGGCCAGGCTATAACTCTCGGTGTCCGTCTTAAATGATTTCAGTTCCACCTGCTAAAAGCCACGTCCGATGAAAAGGCTTGATACCAGGTCTGGTCACGGGAGCATTGCCTGCCCTGGGCTCCCCGCGGTGCAGGAGGGTGGAAGGTTTCCTTGACGTCCCCATGGCAGATACGACCCAAGGGCATCTTGCCAGGAACTGCTGGGCAGGACCCACTTTGCATGTATCTAGATTGCTTTCAAATGAAAAGTGTTAACAGGCACAACCATAATATTTGCTTGTACTTGTCTCTTCTGTGATGGATGGTGAGAGATTGCCTGTTGGCTGAGCTCACCTGCAATAACCAGGCAGTTATTCATCTTCGGCTGCAACCTGCCATATGCAGAGCTGTTAATGGGGCTGCATCGAGACCCAGGGGTGTTTCCGGCCCGTGGGCTGGATCCCATTCACGATGCGCCCCGGTGCAGAAGGGATGGGCACTCAAAGCGAATGTGTTGCTTTGATGCTTAGGTGCAGAAGGGAGCGTGTTGAGGAATTCCCCTTTCTCTGGCATCTGTACCCTGTCCCATCCTGCTGCCCCACATGCAAAACAAGGGCCCCGGTCGTGAGAGGTCTCGTCAGGCTCCTCGTGCACGATGTAGACGTCAGATCTGTGACCCCCAAGCTGTGGGCAGCAATACTGAGCGGGTCACGTGGCAGGGGACATCATATTTGGCTTGGTAATACTGGGCAGCGTGGCAGGTGGTGGGACTAGCGACCACATCGTTGTACGGTGCTTGTGTAGGGTTGCTGCAAGGGTTGTGTTATGATGGAGGAGAATGACACGACTTTCAGGGGACACACGTGGACTGCTCTTCTTGGGTGGGAGAAGGGCTATGTTGGAAAAGCAGGTGACGGAGGCTGACCCCATGAGCTGAACCGAGGTGGGAGTCGGCGTTTCAGTAGTGGACACGGTAATGGGTGAGGTGGGGATTGCATAGTGGAGTGCAGATGACAGTGATAGAGGATGGGAAAGCCATTGGAGGGAGGAAAAGCCAAGGGTGACATGGTCATAGCAGCTGGCTTGGAAATGACCCTTGCCACAGTGGTCTGGAGCAGGGTACTATTGCATCTCTCAAAACTGGAGAAAAGGTGCATTGCAGTGTGTGAGAAGTGAGCCTGGACGGGCGATGTGAGCAGGGCAGGAAGAGCAAGCAGCTGCGGCTGTGCATGGAAAGGCAACGTTGCCTAGTGCATACTTACCTGGAAAGGTAACCATCATGATGGCTTCAGCCCTTCTGGTTTTACTGACCTGGCAGGGAAGCCTCCCCACTGCTGTTTGCTCTGCTCAGGCTGAGAGTAAAACGGGTCTGCGCCTGTCTACATGCCCCTTGATTCGGAGGAGTATCGGGATTGAGGATTAGATCCAGCCACTTTAATAGATCAGGGTCTAACAGACGTGGACTAGCCAAAATTGCTGGGAAGTCCTTTCCATTCACCTTCCTATATTGTTGCATGCTCCCCCGGCCCACGTCCTCCTCCGAAGTCAGCGTGCTTCGTCGTACCCCTCGCCCAGAGCCTCCGAACCGTGCTTTGCTCTCCGTCCCGCCCGAGGATCGCGGTCACGAATCGCAGACAGCGGGTGTCGTAGGGGAATCTGCAAATACTTAAGCCTCCCTCTGCTTCAGCACTGGAAGGAAACGCTGCATTTCCCAGTCGCGCGGGTTAGACTGCGGGCGCTGGCAAACAATTGCTAGGAGGCCCTTCCAGCGTGCATCGCATGGATAACTCTGTCTCTTCACAGGGCTGGGAAAGAAATCCAAAGTCGTGACTCAGGAGGTGCCTCGGGAAGGAAGAAACCCTGGACGTCTTCGGCGTGGCCGTGTCTGTTCCTCTATCTCCCGTTCGGCTCGAGAACTGGTATGTACAGCCATTTAGCTGGGGCTATAGGCACCTCAGCGATTTCTCACGGGAGTCAGGGGCTTTTCTGATTGTGGAGCGCGGCGTCTGACTCTCAATGAAAAAGCACACCCGGTCGTTTCACAGAGAGGGGACTCAGCGAAAGCGTGAAGCCTGGGCCGTGACTTCTTGACACGTTAGAGCTGTGTCGCTCAGCACCTGTGAAAAGTTTTTCGTGTTGGTGAGCTTTGATTCAAGTTTTATAGCTGCTTTTGTGCTTTCTGAAGTGGGCGTGCTGGTGTGATGGCATGTGTGTGTCTTATCTGTGTGGGGGTATATACACGTCACGCTTGCACGGCGTATACGTGTGTAGAAAGGTATATAATATGCATACTGTATTGTACTCTACATGCATTGTGTATGCCGGCATCTGTCTGACTGTGTCTATAAGCTGTCATATATAGTAGCCGGAAGCCCGTGGCGGGCCGTGCGAGCTGTGGTCTGCACCTCTGCCTTGTTGGGATGTTGTGTGAATCAAATGCACCGTGAGATCCTGGTGATGTAGTGTTGCGTACATGAAATTAGTCACAGCCTGACCCAGTGGCCTACTGACATGGTCTGTGCTGCCATGGAAGAGGCTTGCGGTGGATTTTATTTCATGTTTTTCGACCCCGGGCTCTTTCTTCCTGGTGTGCCATTCTCCTGCTGGGCCTTGAAGCTGGAGGTTTCTGGCTGAAGGGTCTTGCCCCTCTGCTCAGGGTCAGACCGACGTCCCATTTGGGGTCAGGAAGGAGTTTTACCCCCTGGTCAGGCTGGTATGGACTGGAGGGTGTTTGCCTTCCTCGGTAGCAGGGGGCATGGTCTCTGCCTGGGATCTCTTGAGCATGTATTAATAATCTCGTACAGCAGCAGGACACTGCCTGCCGTGGTCCCCCTGCTTTCCCTGTGGCACGTTCGGGTGTGATGCCTCATGTTAGGGCTGACGGTGGTTTTAGGAGCAGGTTAGATGATGGATTTGTCTGGGACAGTTTGGACAGGGCTGATCCTGGCTCTGGCAGAGGGTTGGGCTGGAGATCCCTTCCAGCCCTGCTTCCCCTGCGATTCGATGATTCCCCGGCTGGCAGAGGTGGCAGGCGCTACGGGGCAGGAGGGATGTCTCCTAGCAGATGTCTCATGGCCGGGGTAGGTGTGCTTTTCTCTTTGGCATGCTACACCCGTTGCTGCCCCGTGCGAAGACGGGAGAGCTGCCCTCTGAATCGTGGGCATGCCGATGGCAAGGGAACGGCCAAATTCGAAGGAAGGAAAGGAGGCATCCTCAGCGCCGCGCTGGGAACGTGAGGCTGGGGGACAGACCCTGCGCTGTATAACGTCAGAGCAGACAACTCCCGTGCTCCTCATGCCAGGCTTTGCATCCAGCTGTTTAATCCAGCTGTTGCATGCAGCTGTCGAGGTACCGAATAACCCATGCATGAGTCCCCATCACCCATTGCCTTCTCCGGGGGCGGGAATTAGCACTTGCTTCCTATTGCATTGGCCGCTTACTGGAAAGCAGCGCTTCCCCAGATGGGCGGATGGCTGCCTTGAATCCAGGGCCCCTGCTTTATGCCCGTTCTTCTGTTGGGACGTTGCATGGCATGCAGAGTCCAGCCCTTTCCCCTAAGGTCGTGGACTGCTCAGTGTCACACTGGAGACCAAGCAGCCATAAAACATGTCCCGCCTGACCCTGGCTAAACATGAGGTAGCATTAACAGCCGGCATGCCTCTGGGATTCGTCCCCCCGTCCCCGTCGTGTGTGGCTCGCTGCCGCCTGCATTCCTCTCATGGTTGGTAGGGCAGGCGAGCGATTTGCCTTTCAAGCTGATGCAGCTAATATTTCTCTTCTCAGCACAGACAGGCGTGTTAATGGCACCGCGAGCTCGTTAAATGTTGCCGGGGACTTCGGTCCATCTGTGCTCCAGCTGCCCCAGGCTACAGGGGTCGGTGTGTCTCTGCGATAGGTTTGCTAGCCCTCGGTTTGCTTCTCCCTCTTTGCTTTGGGGTCTAGTCTGCTCGATCCTACTTCTTCCTTGCGTCTCAGCACGTTTCCCCTTGTTCCTGTCACGTGTGACCCTCTCCTGGGAGCTGCGTGGGCACAAGGACTGAAACTGGGCTGTGATATACATGGTGTCTCCTACCAGCCTCATCCCTGTAACATCAGAGCCCCTGGTACCGGGGTGATGGATGCTCTGTTAGACGGCCGGATAGCATATCTGCACCATCGGCTGCAGACAGTGCTAGGGATGGTCTGGGGTCGCGTCAAAACCCAGTGCAGCTGCTTTCTCCGAAGCTGTAATGGTTTTCAGAAAAATAGACAAGTGCACAGGGAAAATCCCCTGAGAGAGACCCAGACAGCCACCTCTCCCAGATCCGGGCTCAGCCGTCAAAGCAGCATGCTGTGCTATCCTGGGATTATCGATGGCTCATAGAAGTCCTATATTTCACAAGGAAATGTATACGTGCACATACCGCCTTGTAGAGCGTCGGAGGCAGCAGGAACTTTTGGTAATGAAGTTACACCTGATTCGTATCCTAAAAGCAGTGACCTCTGCTCTTTCGAAAGCAAGGGGATCTCCGTCACCTGAGATCTCGGAGCAGCCGTACCTTGAAGTCCTGGGGCAATAGGGACTTCAGCTCTAGCTAGCTAAGATACGGCAGGGCTCTTATCGCTGTACTCTCCAAAGACAAATGATGCTTTCTGCAAAACGTCCCTTTGTATCCCTGATTTTGGCCATACATGGACAAAGCCAGCTTTGGAATTCATTGCCTGTAAATCTGATGGCATCTTGTCTCGGAGGGGGAGAGCGGGGCTGGAGCGGCGTTTGAAGCGTCGGCTCTGCAGTCTGTTCCTGCTTGAAAGTGTCCTGAACTGCACATTCCTCAAATTCTGGGTGTTCAATAAAGCTGGTGGATGATGCAGCTGTTATCTTCCTTCCCTGGCAGCAGGGCTGGAAAGGTTTGAGTCTGGTTTTCCCTCCTGAGCAGGGGAAATGGGGTTTGCTCCCCTGAAATCCATGGGCCAGCAGAGCCAGAAGGGTGTTCGTGATGGTGGCAGAAAACACACCGGGTGCTCCCTCTTTATAGGGGCTGCTGTGTCTGGGATGGAGAGATTTTGGGATCGTTCAAGCCTCATAGGAGTTACTACACAGCCAGTCTCATGGGCTGACTAAGCCAGTCCTCACTTCCCTGCTTCCCTTGCAGGGTCACACTCCCCCTGCACAGGGCTTGGCGACCCGCCCGGGGTGGGGAATCGCTGATCAAACGCATGGAAAACTGCAGCGGTGCACTTTGTGGGGCTGTCTCCTTGCTCCCCTCTGCTTGAGAGTCTCCGTTTCTTCAGAGCTCATTTCCTTGCTGGGCATCAAAATTCAACAGGACTTGATTAATGCATGGACTAGACTAGCCAGAGCTAGGATAGCTCCTACTCCATGGTCTAGATGAGCCAGAGCTAGGGTGGCTCCTAATGCCTGGACTAGATGAGCCAGAGCTAGGGTGGCTCCTAATGCCTGGACTAGATGAGTCAGAGCTAGGGTGGCTCCTAATGCCTGGACTAGATGAGCCAGAGCTAGGGTGGCTCCTAATGCCTGGACTAGATGAGCCAGAGCTAGGGTGGCTCCTAATGCCTGGACTAGATGAGCCAGAGCTAGGGTGGCTCCTAATGCCTGGACTAGATGAGCCAGAGCTAGGGTGGCTCCTAATGCCTGGACTAGATGAGCCAGAGCTAGGGTGGCTCCTAATGCCTGGACTAGATGAGCCAGAGCTAGGGTGGCTCCTAATGCCTGGACTAGATGAGCCAGAGCTAGGGTGGCTCCTAATGCCTGGACTAGATGAGCCAGAGCTAGGGTGGCTCCTAATGCCTGGACTAGATGAGCCAGAGCTAGGGTGGCTCCTAATGCCTGGACTAGATGAGCCAGAGCTAGGGTGGCTCCTAATGCCTGGACTAGATGAGCCAGAGCTAGGGTGGCTCCTAATGCCTGGACTAGATGAGCCAGAGCTAGGGTGGCTCCTAATGCCTGGACTAGATGAGCCAGAGCTAGGGTGGCTCCTAATGCCTGGACTAGATGAGCCAGAGCTAGGGTGGCTCCTAATGCCTGGACTAGATGAGCCAGAGCTAGGGTGGCTCCTAATGCCTGGACTAGATGAGCCAGAGCTAGGGTGGCTCCTAATGCCTGGACTAGATGAGCCAGAGCTAGGGTGGCTCCTAATGCCTGGACTAGATGAGCCAGAGCTAGGGTGGCTCCTAATGCCTGGACTAGATGAGCCAGAGCTAGGGTGGCTCCTAATGCCTGGACTAGATGAGCCAGAGCTAGGGTGGCTCCTAATGCCTGGACTAGATGAGCCAGAGCTAGGGTGGCTCCTAATGCCTGGACTAGATGAGCCAGAGCTAGGGTGGCTCCTAATGCCTGGACTAGATGAGCCAGAGCTAGGGTGGCTCCTAATGCCTGGACTAGATGAGCCAGAGCTAGGGTGGCTCCTAATGCCTGGACTAGATGAGCCAGAGCTAGGGTGGCTCCTAATGCCTGGACTAGATGAGCCAGAGCTAGGGTGGCTCCTAATGCCTGGACTAGATGAGCCAGAGCTAGGGTGGCTCCTAATGCCTGGACTAGATGAGCCAGAGCTAGGGTGGCTCCTAATGCCTGGACTAGATGAGCCAGAGCTAGGGTGGCTCCTAATGCCTGGACTAGATGAGCCAGAGCTAGGGTGGCTCCTAATGCCTGGACTAGATGAGCCAGAGCTAGGGTGGCTCCTAATGCCTGGACTAGATGAGCCAGAGCTAGGGTGGCTCCTAATGCCTGGACTAGATGAGCCAGAGCTAGGGTGGCTCCTAATGCCTGGACTAGATGAGCCAGAGCTAGGGTGGCTCCTAATGCCTGGACTAGATGAGCCAGAGCTAGGGTGGCTCCTAATGCCTGGACTAGATGAGCCAGAGCTAGGGTGGCTCCTAATGCCTGGACTAGATGAGCCAGAGCTAGGGTGGCTCCTAATGCCTGGACTAGATGAGCCAGAGCTAGGGTGGCTCCTAATGCCTGGACTAGATGAGCCAGAGCTAGGGTGGCTCCTAATGCCTGGACTAGATGAGCCAGAGCTAGGGTGGCTCCTAATGCCTGGACTAGATGAGCCAGAGCTAGGGTGGCTCCTAATGCCTGGACTAGATGAGCCAGAGCTAGGGTGGCTCCTAATGCCTGGACTAGATGAGCCAGAGCTAGGGTGGCTCCTAATGCCTGGACTAGATGAGCCAGAGCTAGGGTGGCTCCTAATGCCTGGACTAGATGAGCCAGAGCTAGGGTGGCTCCTAATGCCTGGACTAGATGAGCCAGAGCTAGGGTGGCTCCTAATGCCTGGACTAGATGAGCCAGAGCTAGGGTGGCTCCTAATGCCTGGACTAGATGAGCCAGAGCTAGGGTGGCTCCTAATGCCTGGACTAGATGAGCCAGAGCTAGGGTGGCTCCTAATGCCTGGACTAGATGAGCCAGAGCTAGGGTGGCTCCTAATGCCTGGACTAGATGAGCCAGAGCTAGGGTGGCTCCTAATGCCTGGACTAGATGAGCCAGAGCTAGGGTGGCTCCTAATGCCTGGACTAGATGAGCCAGAGCTAGGGTGGCTCCTAATGCCTGGACTAGATGAGCCAGAGCTAGGGTGGCTCCTAATGCCTGGACTAGATGAGCCAGAGCTAGGGTGGCTCCTAATGCCTGGACTAGATGAGCCAGAGCTAGGGTGGCTCCTAATGCCTGGACTAGATGAGCCAGAGCTAGGGTGGCTCCTAATGCCTGGACTAGATGAGCCAGAGCTAGGGTGGCTCCTAATGCCTGGACTAGATGAGCCAGAGCTAGGGTGGCTCCTAATGCCTGGACTAGATGAGCCAGAGCTAGGGTGGCTCCTAATGCCTGGACTAGATGAGCCAGAGCTAGGGTGGCTCCTAATGCCTGGACTAGATGAGCCAGAGCTAGGGTGGCTCCTAATGCCTGGACTAGATGAGCCAGAGCTAGGGTGGCTCCTAATGCCTGGACTAGATGAGCCAGAGCTAGGGTGGCTCCTAATGCCTGGACTAGATGATGGCTCCTACTGCATGGACTAGATGAGCCAGGGTAGGTTGGCTCCTACTGCATGGACTAGATGAACCAAGGCTGGGATGGCTCCTAATGCATGGACTAGATGAGCCAGGGCTTGGATGGCTCCTAATGCATGGACTAGATGAGCCAGGGCTTGGATGGCTCCTAATGCATGGACTAGATTAGCCAGAGCTAGGGTGGCTCCTAATGATGGATTAGATTAGCCAGAGCTAGGATGGCTCCTTTGGGCCCAGGGTGGGCATCCCCCATACGGGCTGACTGGTGGGCATTTGAGCCTAGGTCTGAGGGCCATGCCTCCTCTGTGAGCACACGCTGGTTTTGGTCACTCCCTCCGTGCTATAGTCTGCAGTTGGGTACATGTGGATGCCTGAGTAGACCGAGGCTCAGGCTCCTTGGTCACCTTGAAGTGCTCCATGACCTCCTGCTAACTGGAATCAAGTGGCAAGGTCAGGCTGGGCTCTGGTGGCACTGGGGGGAGAGGAGGGGGTGCTTCTGGAGTCTCAAGTGTGCGTCCCCAGGGCATAGTGTTGTCTGCTTTCCCAGCTGCATGCGAGGGTTTGCACTTGGAGGGCATTTGGACATCGGAAAGGGCCCCCGGTCTGCCAGGCTTTCCCAGTTGCGTGCTAGGGAAACAGTGCAGGCAGCGGAGGGATTGCACAAAACGGGCCCCCCATCTGCCAGGCGCCGGGGCCCCAGGTCTGAGCTGAGGCCGGCAGCGCAGCCGAAGCCCGCAACCTGCAGCGTCCCCCTGCGCCGCCCGCAGCGAGCGGCTTGCACGTCCCCAGAGGGGCAAGCCCTCCAAGTGCCAAAGCCAGGCAGAGACGGGTGATTTTTCTGACATCCTTTTGAGTCCCGATCTCCATATTTGGAAATGTTTACCCATTGCACTGATCTATTGGAAGGGGAGGGGAGGTGACTCAGGGTTGAGTGGAAGCAGGATTTGAATTCCTGTAGTAAGTTTTTTTTTTTTTTTTTTCCCTTTTTTTTTTTTCCCTTCCCTTCCTTTTTGCCCTTGTTTTGGGAGCTTGTTGTGGTCAGCTTTTCGCTCTCCTGCCGGCCCTGGATCTCGTTCCAAATTCAATCTGCTCGAAGGCAAGGCGTCGGCGAGAGGAGCGCAGCTGAACTCCAGTAAGTACATCACTGCTGCTGGAGCAAGTGGCTCGGGATTTTGTTTGCTCAGCCGGATTGCATCGAAGCGTGGCGTGTGAGTTTTGCTAGGGAGGGGACGAAGCGTGCCGTGTCCCGGGGGCCAGGCTCCCGCGCACGAGTCGAGCAGAAAGGGACCCCGGAAACCATCCTGCAGCGGTGAGGATGAGCCCTGTTGAGCTGTGCATGAAAGCAAACGTCTCCGCCTGTCATTTCTGGAGGCCTAGTGGTAGGCTGGAGGTGAGAAGAGCGTTTAAGCAGGCGTCAGGCAGGCAGCCTGCTCCCTTTGGCTTCCCAGGTTAATACCGTAGGGTAATAAAGCACCGTGGAGCGAAAGAGGTGCATGCAATCGCCCGGTAAGACGCAGCGGAGGTGCAGCGCGTCGCGTGAGCCTAAGGAGCCGTGGGTGTTCCTGGGGCCGTAAAACCCTCAGGTATTTTTACTGCACAAGTTAATATTTAACCATGGCAGTGGAAGGCTGCAGGGGCTCAGCTGATCTGAGCTAGCCGGGATTTGTCCCGTGCACGGCTTTTCCTGTTGTTCTGCATTTCCCCTTTGGTACGAGTTTTCAGTCTGCCTGATGTTGCAGCTGTCTGAGGTGTTTTCCCCCTCCATCTCCCTTTCCTGAAAGGAAACTATGGTTCATCCAGAGAGTCAGCACTTACTGAAAAAAAGAAAAAAAAAAAGAAAAGCATTTTCCTTCCTGCTTTATTCGTGGCAGCTAAAAGCATGGCCAGGATTTGAGATGGGGAGTCTGCCATTCTGCCATCCTGGTGTCACTTGTCACAGAGCAAGGAGCAATGGGTTCAAGCTGCAGCAAGGGAAGTTGAGGTTAGATAGTAGGAACAACTTTCTGACTAGGACAGTGGTGAAGCGCTGGCACGGGTTACCCGGAGAGGTGGTGGTGTCTCCATCCTTGGAGGGTTTGAAGACCCGGGTAGACATAGCCGTGGCTGGGATGATGGAGTTGGGGCTGGTCCTGCTTGGAGCAGGGGAAGGACTAGATGCCCTTCCACCCTCCTTTTTTATGATTCTCGAGTCTGTAGCATGCTTTTTCTTTGGGGGATTTCTTGTCATCCTGGCTTCGGGTCCTGTGCTTTGTGTAGAGAGACGCATCCTTAATCCATCCAGTTTGCAAGGGCTGTGAATACGGGGTAGCTCCTATGACCGGTCCCCGTCACCATCGCCCACCACCTCTTTCCAACGAGCAGATCGCCAGGTAGATTCGAGCCTGCTCCCATTGGCCTTTCCTGCTTTTAAAAGGTAGCGTTGATATGATCGGGGCCGTGCTGCGCTGGTTGCTGTCCCAACGCAGCAAGAGAGAGCCCCCATCCCGGTGCATTTGCAGTCTAAACAAATGAGTCATGCACCGGGAACACGCAGGGAAATCGTGACTTGGCCTGAGGTCACCAAGAGACGCGGCGGCGGTTCTGGGAATTTACCTTGCTCTGGAGTCGCAGCCCAGCGCCTCTATCTAAAGCCAGGCTTCCTCTGCTGCTTGTGCTTCTTGGAAACACGCCATCCCCCAGCGAGACCACGTGTCCTCCGTGTTACTGGAGCCCGGTGGCTTGGCTGCCCTGACTCCCCGTGCAAAGTGTGGCGTCCTTTCATGCCACAGAGCTGCTGGCATCCGGTCCTTCTGGATTTTGGAGGAGCCCTGTCGTCTGCCGTGCGTTCTCATAGTGGTGCAGGGAGCTCACCTGCCCGCCCTTGCCTTGCACCCCGGTTGGAAATATCGTGGCGACCTCACATAGGGACGGTTTCAGAAGTCCCCCCTCGTTTGAAACACAGCCCTGATGCTTTTGGGGGGGAAACACGCACAATTTGGCGTTAAAAATGGTGACGTTTTGCTCCTCCTTTCTGCAGCATACTAGGCAGAAGACGGAGTCGCTTTGCACCTTGTACACTAACTAACTCAGAGATGGATAGCATAAGATGTTGCCATCAGAGGGTTTATTTCATCAGATGTTGGGGCCTATTAGGCTTTATAGCCCCGGGTCTCAAGGCATTTCCATCCTTGCGTGTCTCTTTTCTGTTTCATGCATGGTTTCCTTGAATTGCCAGTGATTCCCAAGACGGGTCCTGAGAGAGAATAGTTGAAAGGCATTTCATTGGGAAGGCCAAGCACTTCACTTCTGATTCACCATGGTATGCAAATTCGTATCCACTGTCCCACCTCACCGTGGATGTTTCCTGCATCTCACCGCCACGGAGGATGCTCATCGAGAGAGCCCAGCTGGGAGCCAAAGAGTCAATAGACCCAGGAGGTGAAAGTCCTCCCCTGCCTCCCAGCCAGTCTCTCCCAGTCAAGGCTGGGTCATGCGGAGCTGGGCAGGGTTGGGAGCAAGTGTGTGCTGCCCCAGTTGTTCTTGCTGGATGGGTGACTGCAGAGGACTGCATCCCAGAGCTGGCGGTCCAGCCTGCCTGGTAGAAGTGAGCAGATCCTGCGCTCACTGGTGCTAAGCAGGGTCTCACGGTGGATGCCCTAGTGAGGATCATCTTGAGCTCTGTGCATACAGCCATAAGGGAAAGCCTTGTGGGATGGGAGAACGGGGAAAGGATGATCCTACCTGGGTTCAGCCGTCATCTACCGTATGCCTTGCTAAGGACTCCCATAATCTGTGAGGCATGGTGCTGGCCTAGCAAAGCAGCTTGCTTTTTATATATCATTAAATGCATAAAAGCCTGAGCATGTGTTCACTGCAAGGGATTTGCTTAGTTCAGTGATTCTTAACCGCGGTGCTGTTGCACCTCGGGGTGCCACACATTATTAGCACTGTTACGTGTGCAAACACCTCCGCGCGGTTCACAAGATGCACCCAGAGATCTCAAATAGCAATCCAGAGTGTCACAAACAGTTCTGCCTTGTGATCTCTCCGGGCTTTTTGCAAGAGAAGAATTGCTCTGTTTTTTTCTGTTGGCAAGAAACGAGTGAAAGCTTGACGGCTGGCATTTTTCCAGGGGGGCCTTGCATCTAGAAGGGTTGAGATCCATTTGCTGATCTACCCACTGATCCACTTGAGATCCACTGGCTTATTTCTCCCACTGCAGGCTCTGCCCCTTCCCCAGTAGCTGGGTGGGTTGCTAACTCCAGCATTTGGCTCTATGTGTTTGCTGAAAATACACTTAGCGGTGCCAGCTTTGATACCTTGATATGAGTTTCTCAGACCCCGTGATGATGGATGTGGCACGGTACCAAATGGGGGGCAGTAGCCTTGCACAGCTAATTATTGCCTCTTTCTAATGTTATTTTGCACTCTCTAAGGATTTCAGAGCCCTTCACGAAGGGCTGAACCTGGGAGCCAGGAAAGGTCTTCTCATTCTGGAAAGGTATTCTCAGTTTCTACACCCATTTCTATGGGTGTAGAAACTGAGGCACAGGTTGGCTAAGTTGCCTTGCCATGATGGCATAGGAAGTCTGAAAATAAAATGCAGGTCTCCTAGCTCCCACAAGGCCTTTCTTCTACTAATGTCAAACCACAATGTGCTGCCCGCTGTTCTGTAACTGTCTTAAACTGGCTGAAAAGAGCTGGTAGGCATAAATGATTGTTCTTCTTGTGAGTAACATCGTGCCCTTTGAGCACCAGAAATTGCGCTGAGCTAAACTGAAACCCGTGGGCACATCTACACATGCGTTAACACACTTCAGTTAATGCACATTAAATCTAGTACCTCTGTTGTGAGGTACTAGGAGAATGTGCATTAGCGTCTCTTAATGCACATTAACTAAAGAGCACCATTTTTTTTAGTGTTGCTTTAATGCACATTAGCCTATTTGAAGGTGCATTAACTAATAAGCATGGGGTTTTTTTTTTTGAGTGATACTTTAATGTGCATTAAAATAGGCTAATGTGCATGTATAGACATGCCCCATGTGTATTTAATACCATTGATTCCTGTTGATGCTCTTTGACATGACCCGGGCAACTTGCTATGGACAGAAGCACCAGATGGAGCTTCACTTTGTTTGATCAGCTCTTTTCCATAACACGGGAGCCGCGTGCCGTTGTGGAAGAAACGTGTTGGTGTATGGTCTTCTGTGGCAGCTGGTAGCAACAGCAGGGGAGTTTCCTGCCTCTTTGCATCTCTCTACCGGGGGTCAATTCTTAGGTCACATTTGCATCCTAGGACCCAGGGGCTTGCAACAGGGATGACGTTTTTGCAAGAGAAGCAGCCTGCATGCTGTTTGTGACCGCCACGTTCAAGGACTGGTCCAACCGGCATAAATACAATTTAAAGTAAAACATCAGAATATTATCCAGACTCAGTCTCACCGATTTCTCTGTAGTGGGAAACTAATCTGTTCGACCCCAAACTCTGATACTGGACTATTGAGAGGTGATCATATTTCCAAAGATCAGTGGGGTTTTTGGAGACGCTAGTTTTCTGTATTAAGGAAAGAAACCGATTCTTGAGCTTTGTTTGCTGGGCATTTTCAGGCCTCTATTATGCAGCTATGACAAAGACTTGTTCCAGCTGAGCCCTCCGCTATGACAGCTGCTTCCCTCTTATACAGCTTCATTCTTCAGATAAATCTCTCTTCATCAGCGTAGACAGTATTTTTTCCTTTTTTTTTTTCTTTAAAAAAAAAAAAAAAGTCATTATAATCTTTTGAAACTGGGGAAAAAAAAAGATGGGGAGAGGGAATAAATGGATGTTAAGAAGTAGAAAACAATCAATTAAATAGTACATAGCATGTAATTTTCCTTGGAAACTTACCATGAAATTGAAGAGCACTTTAACAACTAGTAATTTAAACTGCATTTGAACTCTGCTAATGGGTTGTTTGCATGGGAACTTCAATCATTTCACAGTGGGCCGTTGTCTTTGGTACCCCTCTATTTGCCTAGAAAAAAAATCTTACTGCAAGGACGAGCTTGTAGCCAACTGGCTGGGCCATCCTTGAGCAAACGGTGGTTTGGTGGAGAATTTGTGGAGGCTTTGGCCGGACAAGGAGGAATCCCTTGGTCTAGGGGTTAGGTATCCAGGTTGTAGCCGTACTGCTGTAGAGGCAAAAGTAATCAGGACTCGTGGTAGAAGTGATCTCTTTTATTAAACCAATTAGATTTTTGCAAAAAAAAAAAAAAAATAATTGTTTAATTGCAAAAATTTTTTTTTTGTTGCAAAAATCTAGCTGGTTTAATAAAAGAGATCACTTCTACCACGAGTCCTGATTGCTTTGGTGTAGGGGTTGACTCTTTCCATCATCGGTCAGGAAATAGGTACAGTTGTGATACTGT